CTCATTATCTCACACAATGGTAAAATGAGAAAAGATTCTTTGCTTCACCAACATCAGATTCATCATCAGCATGGAAATTAGGCTGCCATCGTGCAGCTGTGGTAATGTGTATGTTGACAGATTATGGACATATGGGGGCTTCTATAGATGCAGGTGCTTTATTCTCAATCCCTCTTTGATTGAACATAGAATCTGTGCTCTAAAATTATAATGAATTTTCAACAATAGCTTTACGGTATGCTTTAGGACAGAATCGCAGAATTCATGTGTTTTGAAGACGATGCTGCGGGCATGGACTATTAGATTCTGTAACTGTTCTCCCTGGTAAGCAGGACATTAAAAGGGCAGAGGTACAGGTGATAATGCTCCACTTGCTAAATTAGGACACAAAAGATGTCTGGAATAGGGTGCAATAACACAACATTTGAGATGTTATTATTTTCATTGCCATAATTGAGACAGATTGCCAGTGATGCAGAATGTTCGGTCATTTCCAGGTTGAAAAGATGGAAAATAGTCTTTCAGCAAATACAAATTCACCCTTGTAAAGTAAATGTGTATTCAAGGACAGCAAATGCATTTCTTTCTTTGGCACAGTAACATTCTGCTGACTCCAAGGCGATATTTCTGATTTGTTTGACAAAAGAAATACCTAGTTGCCAGTATAATGTCTCTGTTGATTTCCAGTCTCCCCGCTTCCAAGTGGTAAGATCCTGAAGCAGATAAAGACCCAATATGAGAAATGGCACAGTTGAAGCATTATTCTGGCAATAACTATACAGTACATTTCTATTCACACTTACAAATGCAAATCACGAATACAATCATTTACAAATCTGTCACTTCACATTTTCTTTGTGCTTCCAGGAAATAATTAAACTGGAAAGCCAGATTTCCTTCTCTCCAGTTCTGAATGGATGCTCACAAAGCTACACTCCCTTGCCTCTCTGTGCTCTTCCTCCACCTCTGTATCACTCTCTATGACACATGAAAACACATTAGCCCTCCCTAATACAGCTCGCAGAGAGAGGGAGAGAGGCAGTGCATGTGTACAAATGAATCAGTGCTGTTTGTTGTACTGTTTCGGGCTGGAGCCGTTTCAAGTATCTTCTCTGAGAGAACCGCAGATCATGTTTAGTAAGCTTGCCCTCATTATATCAGACCCTGAGGAGAGAAGGGCCCTCTCACTCCATACTATCAAAGCCATGGAGCTGCCTTCGAGGACATGCTTCAGTATGAATAGAAGCTACAGAGTACATACAAAAAGTTGCATGCTCAGGCCTCATCACCTCTCTCAGTGGGAAGCTGCCAACATTCAAGGTTTTGATCAAGCCTTGCCGTAATGGCTGTGGGTGACAGGTATACGAGACCATGGTTGTGGGAATAAATAGCTAGATTAGCATAATGCATCACCAACAAATTCAGCCTTCAGTGCGTATGAAAGAACTACTTTTTGCCTGAGTGCTGCATTCATACACCGTCTGGGATCGTATTTCATAGGACAAACTCACAATTATGTAAACAGGATATTTACCTGTGCACCCTTGGAAGGTAATGTAATTTACTTCCAGCGTGTGCTCGATACTCCGTCATGTAGTCTGTATTTCTGGCAGCTTTGAAAAGGCTTTGCAGCTCCTATTGTCCACGGAAAGCGTATATTCTTTTCAGCAATCATAATTCACCTGATACATGGAGAGCTTACCTCCAGAAATCCCAGCCATATTGATCCATCTGGAACTGAGCGACATTGCTATAAACAAGCTAATCTAACATAAAAGCTGGCCTTTCAATGCGCCAGCCTGTTGAAACGATTTGGCTGTGCTGGATAGCAATGAATAAATAAATAGATAAATGAGACACACAATCGGAGGCTCGGCCTGCATTGCATCCATATAACTGGAGGCAACAGCTCTGGAATGGGTGATTATTTGGAATAATATCCCTTACATTTGGCAGGTGTTTAGCACCGCTGGGTTGGGAATGGGGATGACAAAGACGTGAAGGTGGCTCTCATCAGTCAAACTCCTGTCTTCTGTGTTCTTCCACCTATATCTTGCATCTGAACTTTGTGACCTTCTGCCATTCTCACGTGTGATTAATTGCCACTTAAGACTGTCCAACTTTAATTTATGGGATCATTACCAAGGGAATGTGCGCTTTACCTGAATAGTTGCCAGACCAGACTTATCTCTGTCTCTCCCTTCCATTCTCCTCTAACCCCCTGCCTTGTTGCTGCCTGACTTGCTGCCAGTAGGCTGAGGTTAGCGCAATAATGGTAGAGGGGGGGGGGGGGGGGTTCAGAAACCCTTACATCTGCCAGGATTACAGCAATTCATTGTAACCTTCAGCAGCCCTTGCCAAATGCTCTCATAACACTTACTGGGCAGTTTTGCACTCCGGAAGGCACCAGTAGGCAATGTTGTACAGGGGGTTGTATACCTTTGGAGAAAACACATGGTTTAAAGGGAGGTAGGGGAAAAGGGCTTTGAGATTTCCGTGGAGATTTGTTGAATTAAAAATACAGATTTTTTAATAATTTTCTTTGATGAATTATTTAAACCCACAGCTGTGTTTCGCTCCTCTCTTTGGACATTATTCATTCATTGACATTTTGCTAGGATGGAAATGATCAGGATGTTGAAGAGGGGATTTGTGCCTACAGTGAACAGAATGATGCTCGATTTAGTAAAATGTAGTTTGTTCCTCTCCCAATTTCTCTTCCTTTGTGAGGATTTATCTAAATCAGGTGGATTTAGGAGACATTTTTATCCTGCTTAACCCCGCTCCACATTAATATGCACAATAGGCAGTGATAAGATTGTGATAGCATGTTAACCACGGAGAAAGGAAACAACACCATCCCTGCTCAGATACCGAGGGACCTTTTGGTTCTGTTCTGACTTATCTCTACTTGGAACAATCAATCTTAATGAGCATTAAGAATGTTCCTTAGTGGTAATCCACAGGCCTCCCTAAAGTCACGCTGAATCTTTTCAGCCTTAATACGTATTGAACAGTAATCAAACCCCAAATTAAACTTTCCTGTGGAGTATGTGCACTGTCAGTTCTCTCATCAGTATCCAACAACCCTTTTTTCCCATGACCCTTCACAAGCTAAACCATATTTGTATTCCAAAGGTTTGCCTACGTCACATTTATATTTAATAAGGAATACTACATGTCATCTTCCTCTATAATCTAACAAGTTCATGTAAGACTATAAACTCCTTTAATTATATACAGTATCAAATATTCAGTTGTAAAATAAAATGTATTTGAAGGAGCAATCCTGAAAAATGGTGGAGATGTTTATCATTTACTTTTATTTGTAGAAATATATTGTATCACCACATTGACTTCATCGTCAGTAATACATTGTCTCGCCTATGTCTTATTTCACCGAAAAACTATTTAATTAGATGAATAAACATGCATTTTATTCCTAGCCTCTTAGAATTTAATTGCATTTCATTCATAGAATAAAAATGGTTTCCCGCAATAGCTGTCATCCCATAAAAATGCTTTGTTTTGACTAAATATTGCCTAGCACATAATGAGTTTATTAAATGTATATCTGTTGAAAGAATCATATCTGCTATGCTGTAGCAAGAGATTAGAGCTGCCAACATAACAGGTGATGATTTGTCTATTGATCCACCAGTTGTTTTTGTGCTCCGTGAAGAACAGAGCTGTTTCTAGCAGTTCTGGCAGCTACTCTGCCTTCTGAGCTGAATGTGACCAACAGCAAAACATGTCAAGTATGTAGGCTGGAGTAGCAGTTGTTCCGTGAAACAAAATGAGTAAAGGTTTTTTGTTCTGCTTCAGAAGTGACACAAATGTGTATTACACAGTTACCCCTGTATGTGGTATTTCAGTGTATCTAGATTAATAGTAATTTGGCTTCAATACATCAGTAAGATTTGCAAAATGACACTGTGTCTCTGTGTGTTGAAAGCAGACCCGATTCTGACTCCTGGCTCCTTCGAGTGTCCCGCAGCCTCCAGTGCAATTAATGATCTTGCTTACAACATTAGCGCCACAATCATGAAAAATCGCACGAAAGCACAGAGTCCCCCAACATATTGAGCTCAATTCATCACAGGCTTCATGCTCATTGGCGGTGTCAAACTTGGTCTCAGTGTTATTGAGTGCTATGGTAATCAAGTACCTGCCATAAGCTCCCAGGAGTGATTATGTTTTTGTTCATACAGTTCACGTAGAGTTATGATTTGTCTGGACATTCAGCTAATGAATCATCTTATTTCTGAGTTTTACAGCATACTGTCTGGGGCACTCAGAGAAAGTAAAACTCACAAATCCATAAAGTGTCTTTGTTAATCCATTGTTTTGACGGTGCTTGAGCATTCGGAGCATTATAATTTATCTAGAAAACAAGTGCACCACTCCTCAATACTATTTCAAAGTGAAAAATACAAACATGATTAGAATTTTTCCTTTCAGACTTTCTGTCCTTTGTTTTTATAAGCAGAGAGACACATGAAGGCAGACCATGGGTCCAACATCCAGTGTGGTATGCTGGGAATTCCATTTTTTTCGAGGTTTTAGGCCTTCAGGATTGTCTATCTCTTGATACTTAAAAGATGTAATCCATGTCAAGGAGCCATTCTTTTCACTGCAATCTGTAACAAAATCAAGATTGTAGAGATTGCTTGTTATGCCGTCAATGTCTTCGCACCTTTGCAGAAGTGATGGCACATCACAAAGCCGTACTTTAGAGTTGCAGGCTATCAGAATGTATATTAAGGAGGGGGAGGGGAATCATATTGTGTAGTTCAGGGGATGCAGAATAGAGTTGGAGTTTGACAGACAAAACGCAGGGTGTATCAGTGGCATGAAGACAGGGACCATCAATCAACAGACAGCTTTCTTTAGCATTATAAATCACTTCATTGCCTAAAGGGCATCATCTGTCCCCATCTCCTAACTTCAGACGGAAAGTGTGTAGTGTAGTTCCTCTTACAGATGGGATGAACAACCAATATGAACCGCTTGTTCTGTTTATTTGCATCGTCAACAATCATACACATCCGTATGTCTCCCAGCACTGTAGCACGTACACACATCAACACCAGTTTGCCCATCCATTGTCACAGCAGACAAGCGCATGGATGTTTATCCTACACCAGAAAGAAATACTCAGTAGCACAGTCAATCAAAAATAGTCTGCCTAATTTAAAACAAAATATGTTACAAACCAAAATCAGTGCATTATGTAGCATATACAGTAAGCAAATACTGTGTGTATGGTCACATTGGGAGGGAGTGCTCAGCAGATCAGAGTTCTTAACAAAGAGAAGTAGAAGTTCATACAGTAAGATAAACAGTTTGTAACACTGAATCAGTCATTGATCTTTTCGCTGTAAACAAAACCAAGGCGCCAGAACAATTAGTAGTACGGGTTAGCGGAAATGAAACAGTTCAGCCCATGCTGTAAGCTCTGCAATGCTGACAGATTGAACCAAATGTTTTTTTCATTGTATCAGGTGTAAGTGAATTTGATCACATTGATGCATCTATAGGTGCCATGTTACTAGATTCAAAGTATCAAAAGCTGCAGATTAAATTCAAACCACTACATACAAACGCCTAATGACATTTTATGTTGGTATTGAGTATCATACAGCCTTTTTTAGATTCTTTATAATGCTGATGGTCCAGACTGAGTCATGATATGAAATGCTCATTGGAGAATATAGAATGTGAAGTATTGCTGCTATATATGTGCATTCTATGCAAGCATAGCAATAACAAACAAACTGTAGCATATTCATCATATACAATATCTTTGTGCCCCGCATTGGCCACCATTGTGGCATTATACACTTCACATGTATGCATTTATACATGCACGTCTAGTGCAAGATATTTCATTTTTTAGAACTTTTGTTCATCCAATTATTTGGACAATTCATCATCTGGAGACATCTACTGTATCTGGTCCTACTCAAGTGGACCGATTACTGAAATGAAAACCACACAAGACCCTATCACAGGTCTGAAATGAGCTCAACAGTGACAAAAATAAATACCAGAAAGTGACACTATGCACAAAGTGATACTTTTCTTTTGTCCATAAGTGCACTGAACATCAGTCATTTATATGCATGGGGTTATCAAGCGTAGAAGATGAGCTCAGGAATCTGCCCCCCCTGCACCCCAGTGCCATTAGTGCTGTCCGAGGAGCATTGGTACTGAAAGGTCACTTTCCCACACTGCACCTCTGTCATCCCTTCCTGTCCAAAGTAGCTGAGCTCATTCCCATCCAGAACCACACTAGCAGTGTAGAAGGTGTCGGGCTCGATCTGCACTGGATACTCAAACCACACTGGGAAGGTGTTGCTGGAACCATCAGAGAAGTATTTGCTGAGGTTTTGTCCCAGCATTACTCCTTGACGTTTCAACTCAATCTTGGCACTGTACTCTGCTGATCCACAGCTAGATCCATACAGTCCAAACCCAGCGATAAAAACTCTTTTATCCACTGCAAACTGTATGCTGTCGCAGCGGCCCCGATAGCGCCACTGATTGCTTCGGTAGGCACATGACTGGAATCTGTGGCAGCGCTGGGGTGTCAGACCTTTTCTAGGCATACTGACAAACTCCAGCTCAGGCTTCTTGGCCGCTGTGTACCACAGGAAGATGTCATTGGTCTCATTAAGTGTCAACACTCCCGACTGGGCTGCTCCATTGGCAAAGTCATCCAGAGCCATTGTAGGGATACGTATCAGGTACATGGCCTTGCCCAACACCTTACGCCTGTTATCAGTCGACAAGGTGAGGTCCCGTCTCTGGCACTCAGCCTCAGCCCAGCTGAGTGCCGCTTCAAACACCACTATCTCTTTAGCATTGAGTGTCTCGCGCTGTAGGATACTCTCGAGGGTCTGGGAGTCGATGTCGCAGAAGCCCTCCGAGCATAACGCCAGCTCGGCCTGGGCATCAATCACTTCCCAGCAGCGCTGCGTCAGCTCCGGCTCCTCGAACAGGCAGCTCTGGGAGAGTAACACGCAGGCATTCTTGGCGCTCAGGCTGGTCTCCAAGAAGTTGACGCAGGCACGTGCCAGGTGAGGGACAATGTACTTCTTGGCAGCGTAAAGAGTGGCCAACACTGTGTCAGCACTCAGGTCAATTTCATCACAGTAAATGTACCTGTTGAAATAAAAATGAGTCTTTCTCAGCTTTATAGACAACATGGTGTAAGCATGTTTATTAAGCAGATCATGTTATTATAAAAACAGACCTGAAGGGGTTATAAATAGTAATGTTGTATATACTATATGTATATATACAGTACTTTATGCTTAAAACAAGTACTGTTGAAGAGTTAAGACAAAGGAGAAGCCTTACTTCAGCATTGCCAGAAATGCTGCTGGTTCCACATCTGGAATATGGATTTCATCATCGTTCTCAGCAAGTTCACCATAAAACATGGCATGGAACACTGAGCTGCCCACAGCCAAAACATACTGTTGGAAGAAAAGGAAACAAAGTAAAAGAGTGAAAACAGGAATACAAACATGCTGTATAGTCTGTGATTTCACTGGAAATAACATAACGTGTAGTAACATTCAGTAATGGAGAAAGCTATCTGTCCTTTATAATTGTCCTAAATCCAATTAGTTCCCATGTAGCTCCTACTCTTTACATACAAAAATAAATCAATTTGTGGGTGTTGAACAATGCCTCAATTATAATCATTGGAGAGACTGAACCTGTTGAGCTTCTCACATAATGAGCCGAGCTCAGCCAGTTACCATTTTCCCTGAGGACGAGGAGGCACATTTCTAATGAACAAGATTGCCTCTGATTTAAACAAAAAACTAAATAGGAAATCCTAATAACACAACTATAGAGAGTGCAGCAAAAGTTCAATTAGCTGAAATTAATGACTTGTCTGAACCTATGATGAAATCAGATGCAACACAATGCTACTAATTCCAGTGATAAGCACTGTGTTCAAGGCATGCATTTTGTTATTGTACTCAAGTACATCCGTGTGTGTGTGTGTGTGTGTGTGTGTGTGTGTGTGTGTGTGTGTGTGTGTGTGTGTGTGTGTGCGTGCGTGTGTGTGTGCAGCATAAGTATGCGTTGGCGGGTATGTGGGTGGTGTACATGTTCACATAAATAAAAAGGCACATACCCAATTTGCCTTGCAAAAAGCTTTTTAGAAAACAATGCATATTTTTGTACATACTGAAATTCATTAAAGCATGAGTATATAAATGCTGCATATTAGAATATGATTAGTTCCACCTTCTGACCCATTGTATTTTACAAATGTTCACTCTGCTTTTAGCTGCATAAGGCATCCCGTATTTTGTAAGAAATATAACTTTAGAAATTAAATCATAATGCACATCTGAGTTCCTGCCAAATGGACACAATAAAGATTGCGGTATTGAGCGTCATTATATTCCACTGGCATAATGTCTTGACATAAAGTGCAGTCAAGTCATCTTCGATGTCCTTCTTTCCATAACGGCTTTCTTTAAATGCATGGAAGAAGTGCACTGCAGCTACCAATCATAGATAATACTTTCGGGTCCCAGAACCAAAAAGATGACCCATGCAGGGCTCATCTGTCTGGGTAGATGTGGAATGGCCAGCCGAGAGAAATTCATGGCTGCAAAATCACTTACCAGATTTAATGTGAATGTTATAATCATATTCCAAATGAGTACACGTAATGATGTTCTTTTAGATGAGCCACATGGTGTAGGCAGCTATACACTTTAATCATTGATGTGAACATCTTGGAAAAGGCAATGAGGTCAGAGGGAGAACTAAACAAAGAACCATGTCGACCTGCATGTTGCAACCGGCGTAAACGGGATGAATTCGGGTCTAATTATAATACTAATGGCTATAAAGTAGATTCACTATAACCATACATCCAGAATTCAAAAGCTAATCAAGTGAAGGGGTAGACAAAGTATTTATAGGATGTGAGACGCAGAGTTGAATGCATCTTTCTCTATTACTTATCATTGTGGCTGTGTGCGGTTAGACGTGTTTGATTAAAAGTTGGGTAATTGCAGAGCTGTCTCTGAAAAGCTGAGCTAAAGCAGAGACAAAGGCGATCCATTCTGCGAGATGACTGCTGAAGAGGATATCCCTTCCTCCTTCCCTCAGCCTCATTTACATAAATAATTGAGGACTGTCTAGAAAAGACACATGGTGCGGAAGTGAGACCTGAGCACAAAGGATTGCAATTCTATTACTGCTGGCGCGGGGGAGATTATTTTTATGCTGATATGATATGAATAACTGTGCTGGCTGATTACTTGTTTGCTAATTTCCTCGCTGCAACCGTGACTTTAATCGTTGATGAAATTCTTACTCTGTGTCCCGGCAGCCGCTGGGTCCTTCCAGGCTGACCCACCACAAAGTGAACATCTGCCATCAGCTCATTGTTGAACATTACTGAATTTCTAAGAAGGGAAAGAAACAAATTAAAACAGGAGAAATCAATCATACACATTACATACACATACACATGTGTTTTAGAAGAGAGGAAGGGGAGAAAATCCACAACTAAAAGTTATAAGAGTGACATTAAAGGAGACCCATAAATATATATATTATGCGATTAATAAGATTAATACAAATTAGTCTTTGGCAAAAATCCAAGCAAAAATAGTAAACTACATATATTTTCTCCTTCTCTTCAAACAAGAGTTGTGGTTATAAAGTGTCCCAATTGCTTCAGGCAAGACAGTGCGTGGATTGAAAGAAAGTCTTACATACCACACTTACACAAACACAAAGTGCCTACATAGAGAAAAACTGGCAAACAATCCAATTAACTAAATGGAAAATCCCCACTGTGAAAGAATGGGACAAACAATGAAGCTGCGTTCATATATTATTGAGCACTGGAACATGTGACAAGGGTGGGTAAACAGCCCCATGGATTTCTGGAGAGACAACAAAGCCAGGTCGGAGAGCACACATTTAGCTCTCTTACTGATAGGCCAAGGTAAATATTTAGCTTTTAGTACAGAGCAGCATCTGCCTGTAGTGCATATCAAACGCACCCGATGCCTAACCACCCTCTGTTATGTCAAAGCGGTAAAGTCTGCCGGAGCATGGGAGGGTATAAACAGAGATACCCCCAGCAGATTAAGGGCAGGGCAAAGGGAACACCCACCCATATACACACACACACACACACACACACACACACACACACACACACACACACACACCTCAGTATAAAAGACTAACTACCTTACATAAGTGTTTTGGGATACGTTATCATCTGAAAACTGGTAATACAATGCAGTGGAACATGCAGCTCTTCTCTATAAAACGTCATGTGATTTTGTTAATGATGAAGATTCATCTACCATGATGAACTGTTGGAAAAGCTGTCATGGTCCCTGATTCAGAAAGACAGTTACTGCTGGCACCTACCTTTCTCTTATAGTGGAGTAAAGTCCTTGCCAGTTACAGTTCTGTATGGTGGTGTTGTTGTTGTTGAGGTTCTGCTGCTGGTACTGTTGCACTGTGGTGGTGGAAGCCGGCTTGTTGGTGGGAAAAATATCCGCTGCCATCTTCTTCTTCTTCTTGCTCCTTAGAGTGATTATCTCATAACAGACAGGGGGCAGCTTGGAGCTGCTACTGGCATTCCCTTTCTTGGAGCTTTTACTTGATTTGCTTTTCACTGACTCGGGGAGCATTAAGAAGAAAGTCAGACATTTCATGTTCCTTCCCTTGGCATCGACCATGAGTGTGTTCAACTGCCGAGCAGTGGGATAGCATGCAGAGAAGACATTCACCAGGACCAGGCAGGTGTAGGGGGAAACAGAGAGGGACCTGAGCTGTACTCAGCAGCGTAGTTATCAGAGTTCCTGTGCAAGCTTTCACCTTTCAGGAACTATAAGACAACTCTCTTGTTTGCCTCTTCTCTTCACTCCTCTGAAGAGGCTGGTGATCCGAGGGCGCTTCTCCTGTGTGAAGTTTGATCTGCTGACGGAAAAGCTCTTGGGGTTCCCATCCCTGCTTGTCCAGAATGATGAGATCTGCTCTTTAAATCACTTCTTTTTCTCCTCTGCTCCCATGCCTCTCTCACTCACTGAGGGTTGGCCTGACAGCCCCAGATTTAGTACAGCTGCAGTGGTCCTCAGGCAGGCAGCGGTGTTTACTCAATTCCTTTCATTTCCCACTCTTACTCCTTGTGTGCTTCTCTTTTTCTTTCAGTCTGTCTTCAGCTGTGGATCCACCTTTTTCTATCAGACTCTCTTTCTCCTCTCTGTCCTCCACGGAGCCTTCTGCAGGATGCTGTAGCGGTGGATGCTGTGCAGCTCTGCTCAGCCACTCGTTCTGCTGACTACAGAGGTTGAATGGGAGAGCGCAGAGGAGATGGAGAGCCACCTCCCCGCCCCTCACAGCACAGCGCACAGCTCTCTCCATAGCTCAGCCAATGGGAGCACATAGCATTCATGATTGGCTAATGCAGCCTAGTGCAGCACAGACTTGAATATGCAATAGTCAAAGTCTCAATTAAAGTGACAGCCATGCACCATAAGAATGATATATTTATCTCCAGGTTTGCTTCCTGTGTTTGTTTGACCTGGAGCCACAGCAGTCACTTTGCACTACAGCACTCCATGTTTTGTTTCAAAAGGGCAATGCAAATGGAGGCGCTCTTTTTAAGGGCAGCATTTGCTTAATTCATGCATCCTTTGACAATGGATCTTCTTTAATGAGCTTTTTTGTTTACAGAAATAGTTTTGCATTACATTGGTCTTTGATGCTTTGATTAGATTTATGACTTCTACAACATATTCATTTCTTAAACAAGCTTTTATTGTACTACCAGAATATGATAATGTAGCATATTGCAGTGAGCTCGTTATCCTGTAACTCTAAATATTTATTTGAATAAATGTCACGTATTTACATTTTAAATATGTGCAATAGCTGTGAAATACTGTAGCGTAGACTTTCTCTTGGAAAGCTAACTGCTTCTCTTTCCCAACTAGGAATATGTGCTTGTGCTTTAGTTTTCTTGTTAAGTCATCTCTTCAAGAGAGTACATGGGGATATAAATGTAATGCACTCTTTGCACAATGTATAATGCATACAGTTCCTTTGCTCGTCTTGTCGAGTTGGGCCTGTGCACACTGGGTATTTTATTTAAAGCGCACGGATGATTTAGCTTTTTAGTGATGGTGGTTTAAAAGGTTATGCAACCTGTCATACTTGATATAATAAGACCCAATATATATATTTTTTTTTTCTTAGAGCACTTTGTTAATTCCACTGCAATGGTTTCCTTGTTAATACTATTGTGTAAAGTAGCACTAATACTACTTGTAATACTAGTTAGTTTGCACATTATATCTCATAATATATTAAGGGTGAAATTAGACCGACAAAAAGAGCCGAATGAGGTGAATATATTGAATAGGGAATGTCTTCCTTGAACCACTGTCACAGTATAGATTTGTCCATAAACCTTAATTAACTGTATAAGTGTGTGCTGGCTGAGGCGCATAGCCCACTAAGCTTCTTTATACAGTACAGTGTGTGCTGGAGAACAGAGACATGTGCTATGGTAACATGCAGCCAACATTACAGGGCACCATACTCTCAAATTGCAGGCCACTAGAGATGTTACCTAGGTAACCACATCCACATGCAACAGCAGGACAGAAATGTAGTATACAAATAATCATGACAGTAAAGCAAAAGTATAATACAATATTGTACTATGAATCTATTGGCTTTATAAGAAACATTATAAATAAATGTGTGCTGTGATTTTATTCTACATATATCCATTGCCATTAATAGCAACTACATTATAATGTTTAACAAGCAAACGTCCTAACTGTTGCCAGAATACACAGTTTTGTGATTGATCTGATATGTGTCTAGCAGCATATTTGATAAACAGGATGTCATTCTATATCACCCTGAATGGCTTCTTGCTTTCTTTAATTGCATTTTCTCTCCATTCATCAGCAGAAAATGTAATCAGGTTATTCACACATTCAGAGTGAGAGGGGGGGGGGAAGTAATGACGGTGTTGTCACAGTGTCAACACCACCTTTGTCTCACACTTTGTCATCACATAATCACACGTTTTTACATAAAAAGTCAAACATAAGCATGACTGTAGTAGCACTGTGATCAGCATTATGGTCGATAAAGGCTGTTATTCTTAGTTAAGCCTTCATCTATATTTTCTGTTAAAAAACAACATAAATGTGCACACAAGTTAAACACATATATTTTAACCATTTGGATATAATGCTAACCTCTCATTATTGTATGCTTATTAGAAGAAAACTAATGTGTACATGCAAAATTAAGATACATTTATTTTCTGATGCAAGGTTAAATATTTCCTTCGAATTTCAGTGCCTGGCAGAACTCCAGCCTCTGTGTATTACCTGCAAAAGGTGGAGCTAAAAAGCAGCAGGAGTCCAGCTGTGCCTCTGTCGATTAGTCCTTGATGACAGTACTCTGTGCAAATCTTCATCTTCAAAGTAGTTCCACCAATACACCTTCATCTTTGAGGAAGCAACTGCAGCCGGTGTGAAACGTACATGCAAGTAAAGGTAGAAAAAGTCAGGGGCATCAATTGTAAGGAGAATACTTGAGTAACTCAAATGAGTCTCAGTTTCTGCTTTACACCGGCACATGCTTGTTTTTATCATTCTTTACAAGCTAGTATATCCCAGAACGTCTTGTGTCCAAACGTATTACTATTTCAAGGTTAAAGCATAATGGCTAATGCATAAATAATTAGCTGTATTACATAATAATTATGTTAAGTATGTCTCATCAGAATACAACATATGCATTAGTAGCTTCCAGGCAGTGGATTACTGTATAATGATGTCCGTGCTCACAGTACTGTAACTCATCAATTTGTAATTCAAATAAAAAATGGAAGCACTGAGTAGCAAAGCCCAGACGGTGATCACAAGAGGTGCAATCTCGTTGGAATTTACTATGCAAAATCTCAGGAAATGTTCTCTAAAGCAGTCTGAATACTGAGACTTGCTGACTGCTTGCTATTCCGAGTTTGAGCGCAGAGATGCGGCAGTGTGTTTTAGTGACAGAACTCTTCTGCAGAGAGATACCTGCTGCGAGGCTTGGCTGAGCACAGCGGAGGAGAGGGGAGGCTGGGAAATGAACTGTGATTCAGGCCTGGCACACATAGGCAGGGACAGGATCCAGCAGCTCGTCCAGTGCCCCCCCCCTCCCCTCTCTCTGCTGCCACCATAAAAGCAGGCGAGGGCACCTGACAGGTGGAAGGGGCGGAAGAGGTGGCGTCTGCCCAGAGAGGCGCTCAGAACTCCTGAAAAAGAGAACGGTTGGTCAGCAGGGTCTGGGAGAGAGCTGATAGTCATGCACAAGAACAGTGTGACGCTTGTCTGTATGTGCATGAGATTGTGTGTGTGTGAGCTTTAATATGAAAGTTGACGTGTGGATAAAATGGAAACTTTTCCAAACTCTCCTTCTGACATTGGCCTCTTTCTATTTAGATGTTCTGCTTGTTAACAGACCCTCAAACTTCAGCCAATCGCTTCAGAATTTGAGTAACAAGGAAAAACGACAACAGGATGAAAATGTAATTAGAAAACCAACAGGAATTTTTAACCATGTCTTGTCAAACAAATGATACAACACACTTCACTGACCAGCAGAACACCATAGATGAGATGATAGCCTCTCTTTCGCCTCACTATCAATATGTCACAGTCACAAGATGTATGGGGTAATTTTATATTCGCCTAGAGAGCGCAGAGAGACTTTAGGAGGGCTGCAGGAGCCACCAGCATCTCTGGATCACATGCACAACAGCAACCAGTTTAACATCTCCATACATGCAGTATTAACCTATATCTGATATATCTAATCTTGCCATTGTGCATGTGTGTGTGCTGCAGAGTGTGTGGACACAGTAATGTCAGTTTAGAGCAGACCTTATAACCCCGACCCACAACGTGCTCACAGGCTCACTCCCACACACGTTCTGCTATTGCTCTCTCACTCTCCACGCTCTGTTTCTGCTGTCATGTAAAACTTGATGGACATAACTTTCAGTGTGATTTCATGTTTTGGGTGGAGAATAATTATTTGGAAATGTATATCATATTCTGTTCTGGGGTACATTTTTTAGTTTGAGCGTTGTTCAGCGTCCCCCTAAAGGTTTCCCAGTCATGTTATATGTGCACAACACTTATTTGGTGCTTTACCAATGAAGTGCACAGTTACTGAAACGTAACATCCTGGAAAGGGTCTGACTGAGGACTGTTTTGACTGTTTTGTAGATATGACATGATAAATGCCATGGTAACTTAGCCGCTTCAAAGTGAAAAACACAATAGCGAAAGTGTGTTCCCCAAGACAGCATGAGTGTTATATCCAAATCCAATAATCAGGTTTTTATCTTACTACACTATTTTTGTAGGGTTAAAAGTTGTTCTTATTTATTAGTTCATTATTTGTCTGGGTGAATCTGATTTGCAACCCAATTCCCTGGTTTATGATGTTTCATCTTGATTAAAACATTAAATCAAATGAAGTGGTAAAACAAAACAGGTTGTGTTGTACATGATTGTGAGGAGTGATAGTGTGTGTATTATTAGGTATGAATACAGCATATAAGCATCAATTTGAAGAGTGTATCCAATGATCTGATCAATAGTTGTTCGGTGTTCACGTCTTTGTAGCAGATTGTGATTTTGGATCAGTAGTTAACAGTGTTCCATGATTGTGAGACTTTTATACTGCGAAAGCCTTCTCTAAATGGCATTTACTGCTACTAAAAATCAGTGTTTTTTCAGTGAGTTCAGGTCCTGTGAAGATCAAGATTATTTGTGATTATTAGATAATGGTGTCCAGCACGGAACATACGGTTAGTTGGGTTTCTCTTATCCTGTTAATTCCACTACCGTCCAGATCAATATCTGATTCATACATTTCCAAACACTTTTGGCAGCAGACTTACTCTAGAGTCCGACTGGAAGGATATACTTCTTCACTAATTTATGAGAGTGATAAAGTACTACTTTATGAGTCCATAACGTTCATTCAAATCACTGACTTGGAATGCACTAAATAACATAAGAAACATTGATCGTCCTGAAACACAAATCCAATGTGGACCCAGTTTATAACCGTTGCATAGATCGCTGAGGCAGTACCAAAGCCCTGCAGTGAAAATGCTAGATGTTCTGAGATCTCCATGAGGAGATGAATATATTGAATATATTCCACTTTAAGTAAAGCTTATTCAAATGTCCTGCCAGTTCCAGGAAATCATTTTCACAGACAGAATTCAAAGTGCTGCCAAGGTTTGTGG